ACGACAAGCAGCATCCCTTTCCGGAAGCCCTGTACGCCACATCTTGGTGGGCCCGCACAAGGACATCATTGACCCGGGACAACCTGGAGGCCATCCATGACCTGGCCAAACAGACGAATGATGCCGACCAGGACTACCCCCTCACCCTTTGGGGGGGAGTCCCACTGGGTGTCTCTGAACCCACTCTGATTAGCCCGGGGATCTGGCCCACCAAGACCGAACTCAAAGGTGAAGATCCCACTCAGGACCTTCTTCCCCCCCCTGTGGGCCGGGACAACTATAGCTCGGCAGACCAATTCATTGCTGAGATCAAACAAACCTTCCGGGAAGAACGAGAAGACATGGGCACGGTCGAAGGACCCTTCACCATCACTGAAGCGGCAGAGTACTGTGGGTGCACCCCAGAAGAACTCTGCCCGGGACCGATGGCAGCCATCGATGAGGGAGACAAAGTGAGAACCATCTACGACGGCTCCTGTGGAGGGGCCAATGCACACATCCAAAGACACACGGAGGAATGTACCACCGCGCCCACCGTCATGGACTGCGTCCACTGCCTACATTGGTTACGTGCCTCCTGTGACCTGTCCTTCCAAACGGGCAGGTGCCTCGCCAGAACCGGCCACGGAATGGCACATACACAGACGTGTCAAGATCCACTCTCGGGACTGGCGATTTCAAGTGGCCCAAATTGGTGCGGAATGGTGGGTCAACAAAGTGGGCACCTACGGCATGGCAAGCGCCCAACTCTACTGGGGGCGAATGGCAGCCCTCCTCAGTTTTCCCCGAAATCGACTGGGGCTTCGTCTTTATAGACGACTTTGCCTGGCTACTGCGGGGTCACCTAGCCGACTTACACTCCACCGCCCTCCTGTTGGTGTTACTCTCATTGGGCACCCCCTTGAGCTGGAAGAAGACGGCCCTCGCACGCACGAACACGTGGCTTGGGTTCGTCATCGGCCCATCAGGACCCATTGTCCAGATGGCGAAAGACAAACATTCCCTGGTAATGCAGCTACTGGACCGGCTGGCAGCGGGTGAGGTATTCACCCTCAAAGACCTTGAGAAGGGCATGGGGCGACTGCAATGGGCAACGAGTGCCTGCCCCCTCACCAAGCCGTTGCTTCAACCGCTCTGACAATGGAAAGGCGCGGTGAAGTCCTCTGGCAAGCCTAACCACTTGATCCGCACCTTTGCCAAGATGCTCCGGCTACTTTAATCCATGAGCCCTATACCCAATCCACTCCCTTCGCACCCTGGTCGCCCTGGCACGGGGCGAGCGATGCGAGTGCTTCCACCCAGAAAGAATACTACATCGGAGGCTGGCTCTCCTCCGATCCTACTCCAGCCAAACGATCCGTTTTCTGGTTCCACCTCCGTTTGGATGAGGCCTCCTTCCGATGGCTTTTCAAAACCAAAACTGCCAGCGCCATGATCCCAGCACTTGAGTTACTGGGCTCCCTCATCCTCATCGCCTTCATCCTGAAGATGGGAGAACGCAACCAGCTGGCAGTCAAGATTCCAGTAATCACGGACAACCAAGGCAACGTCTTCTGCATGCTGAACAACAAGACGAGGCAGATGCCCACTGCGGCCATTTTGATGCAACTGGTCTTAACGCTTCACAAAGGGGGCGCTCAACTCGCCCCGCGCCATTGGAAGCGGGACCTCAACCAGTGGGCCGATGAACGCACACATCCAAACCCCACGGGGTTTCATCCTGAGTTTCACCTTGATGTGAAAAACATTCTCTCGGAGTTCACCCTGATGAATTGGGTCCTCAAGGAGATCTACCATTACTGAGGACCGCCATTTTCCCTTTTAAGCTCCCTTCCAGCTGCTTCACGCGCTGATCAGAAGGGGGCAAACCTTTCTCGGACATGACACCCATGGGTCCTTGTTTGGACGCCCGGTGTCAGTGTGCTTTACAGGTTCTCACCGGCTGATTTTCGAATGCCACCCAGTGCAAACCAGGTGAAGACCTGGCATGGGTGAAAGAGGACAGCTCAAACCTGTAAAGGCAGACACTACCACCTCTCTGAAAAGAGGTGCAAGCTGCTTCGTGATGCTGCTGTCTGCCTTTTTGGATTGATGTTTGGGGACACAGTAATATATACGAAAGGTCGCCTCCGAGGGGATAAATCACCATGTCGAACATTGCATTTTTGTTCCTGCCTCTCGCGTTCTCTTCTCTTCCCGCTGTCCTACCTTTCGTGTCTCTCAAGTATATATAAACATAAACTAGATCAAAATAGTACCTAAATACCATCTATTGTTTTTGTGTCAGGGCTGACCTGCGTCAGGATAGTGTGGTGCGGATTTGCCTGGAGAACCTCAGCCAACCTCAAAAAGCATTTCAGCTTGTTCGGGAGACAAAGCTGGCCAGTGGCGCCGAACGCGTGGCGGAATTCTGTCGCAAGGACGGCAACGTGGCTGGAGCTGTGGAGTTCTATCTCTTAGCCAAGAACGACGAGGAGGCCTTCTTGTTGGCTGAAAGGTCAGATGAAATGGGTACGTACGAAGCTGGCCTGGGCGAGCATGGCTCACGAGATCAGTACCGACGAATCGCCAAGTACTATGAGCAACGAAACTTGTTGGCAGATGCCGCGAGGCACTATGCCAACTGTGAGGAGTACCCGACTGCTTTGAAGTTGTACCTGAAGGTGGGAGAGAAGGAGATAGACCATGCAATTGAGGTTGTTGGTCGAGCGAGGAATGATGCGCTGACACATACTCTCATTGACTACCTCATGGGCGAGACCGACAATGTTCCCAAGGATGCCAACTATGTGTATCGGTTGCACAAAGCCTTGGGTAACTACATGCAGGCTGCTGGCACGGCCCACATCATTGCAAAGCAGGAGCAAGAGATGGGCAATTACAAGCAGGCACGCCGTTGGAAGCCATGTCTCAAGAATGTAAAGAGCCATTTAGTGAGCGGCCATATAGATTTGGGGCTTTGCTGGCTGAAAACATGTCGGAGCTGTGGGGTCTCAAGGTCCTTGTTTAGTGGCATGGAGCAGTAGGGATCCTAGGGCAACTGAACCAAGTTGAGAACCATCCCTATCTTCAAGCTTTTGGATGGCCAAAGGCTGAGCACGAAAATCAACATCTCATCTGTTTTTGAGGCTCACCAGCTGCTCTTCCGCACCTACCAGGATTTGAAGAGTCAAAAGCTGGCGCTGCCGCAGGAGCTCTGGAGGCGGTTGATGCTTTTGCATTCCTATGTGATTGTGAAGCGCCTAGTGAAGGCTGGTGATCATCACAGCGCAGCGATCATGTTAGTTCGAGTGGCCAAAAACATCCAGCAGTTCCCGGCACATGTGGTACCCATTTTGACCTCTGTGGTGATCGAGTGCCAACGTGCCAAGATGCCTGGAGAGTCTTACCAGTATGCCTGCACTTTGATGAAGCCTGAGTACCGAAAGGATGTCTCAGAGCAGTACCGGAAAAAGATTGAAAATATCGTGCGAAAGCCCCCACCTGACAGTGAGTCAAGAGACGCACTCGAGGCCAACATGCCATGCATGTATTGTGGCTTCTCGTTTGCAGAGTCGCAGCTTGACTGCTTGAACTGCAAGAACATCTCGCCCTTTTGCATCGCCAGTGGCATGAGAATGCTGAAAGAGGACTGGTCCAATTGCCCCGCCTGCAACTTCCCAGCAAGGCATTCTGTGTTCACCGCCACACTGCAGGCCAATGATCAATGCCCCATGTGTGATTCAGTGGTGAAGCCGCACGAAGTGCTTATTGTGCCGGACCCTGCGGCCCAAATCAACTACTACAAGTCCTTGTTCCAGGCCTCTGAAAATGAGAGTGCGCCTGCGCCTCCACCTCCACCGCCACCCCCATGAGATCTGGTAGAAGACGTAGGTTAATGACCGGCTGCATGTCAGCGAGCTGCTTCAGCGTTTCACTCGAATTGAAGATGCACGTGTGCCATAGTACAGCAGTACGTCGCCCATTCAAATGCAAAAGTTCGGGAACCATGATATACATTCAACACACACACAGACACATGCTTCAGATGTGGCTGGTCTTGCGGAGGTAGATGCCTCGTTCCGGCTGTGAGCTTTCTTTACGGGCAGTGACTCGTATGACTCGTGCAAGTTTTCAGGCAAAAGCAGAGCCCTTGATGAAGGACTTCATGCAATCTTTCAGAGTCACCATTTGGGCCATTGTCCGTTTGCTCGCTTTCAGGAGCTGGATTCCTTGCTTGAAGTGGCCGAGGCACGCCCTGGTGTAGTGCCACGTTCCAAAGAGTGCAGAGCCTTTGAAAACTGGGGCACAGGAGTCACAGGAGGCCAAATTTCGCTACTGTAAATCATTGGGCACAGTTGCAAGTGCAGCAACTCCCACCACTTGTGTCGGGCACGGTGCAGCAGTGAAGACATGGCACCTGCAGGCTGCTATCGAGACCTTGCAAAAGAAGGTGCGTTCCTTAGAAGTTTGGACGGGGACAGAGCAGGAAGTTGAATGGACAGGTGGATAAAGGCACTTTGGAGAAAGCGGAGGAGGCTATCAAGGCCGAGGAAGAGAGAATTGATAGGGATATTCAGCAACACGTGCAATTATATAATAATTATATACTACTAGTAGCAAGAAGATACTAGTAGGTAACTATATAGTAACAAGGGCATCGCTACTAGTAGCAAGAGGCTACTAGTAACAAGGGCATCACTACGAGTAACAATCCGTTTTGCTCTCTCTTTTTTTGGGACAGCTGGGCTCAGCTGGGCCAAAGAGCTGGCTCCAGTTGTGATCCTTGGAGGCCTGTTCCCAGTTTGTCATTGAGGGAGGACAAGTGCTGACAGTGGGAGAGGCGCACAAATCTCTGTCAATTTGGCTGCCCGGATGTGCCATGTTGTGTGTGACGCATGCAAAAAGATATTCAGGATTCTCAGACATGTTGGCTCAGTCATGATAAAACGACAGTTCATGACCTACATTTCATTCATGCACTCCCTGGTAACCTCTTGCCCCGAGATGCCCTGAGCGGGTTTGCCTCTGTTGGTACTTGTTTTGCAAGATGGATTTTCCTCAAGGTTTGCAATGGCGACTCTAAGCCATGGTTGCGATCGCGCTGCGCAAGCGCTGTCCTTTCTCCAACGTCTCAATTTCAGCGCCCCGGCCAATCTGGAGCGAGCTGAGTGTCCTTCTTGCAGGAAGTGGGTGCGGCTGTACTGCGCCAGATGTGTTCGGAGCGTAGTGGAGCTTCCAGAGCCGTTAAGCCTAACCCTACAGGTGATGATTCTCAGACATCCCAAGGAGGCTGCCGCAAAGTCTTCGGCGACGCCTCTCTCCCTACTGTCACCTGACATTCAGGTGCGCGAGTGGGGACCCCACTGCGTTGATCAGACCTGGGAGCCTGGGACCTGGCTGGTGTTCCCCAGTGAGGACGCGACAGACGCGTCTTCAGTGGACTGGGCTGAGGTCACCGGATTGGTGCTGGTAGATAGCCGCTGGAAACATGCAAAAGCAGTGGTGGATGATCCAAAACTCCAACTCAGAACGTTGCCAGCCATGAAGCTTGGCCCGGAATCTTCCGTGCGCTCGTGTTTCTGGCGTTCCGCAACTGAGAAGCTTGACTTGGAGGGCCTACTCTCTACGGCTGAGTGCTTGCACTGGCTGCTGAAGCTCCGTCAAAGATCCCAAGGCAGGTGAGACATGGTGAGACTCCTTTCGCTTTGGGCCACTTCAGTGTGAGCATAGTGTGCCCCGCTCGAACTCGAACTCGAACTCGAACTCGAACTCGAACTGAAACAGTTATACAGATTGATGAACTTAACCTTGAAAGGATATATATGGAAGGAACCGAACTCGAACTCGAACTCGATCTCGAACTCGATCTCGAACTCGAACTGGAACTGTTAGAAGTCAACCCAGTGGACGAATAGAAAGAGTCGAACTCCAAAATCGCTGTCATCGATTCGAATTCGAATTCGAACTCGAACTCGAACTGGTCCCCCCCCCCCGGTGTCAAAATTGTCGTCGATTCGAAATTCGATCTCGAACTCGAACTGCGTTTCCCCCCCTCCGGGCGTCAAAATTGTCGTCGATTGGAATTCGAACTCAAACTCGAACTAGTTCCCCCCCCCGGAGTGAAAAAATTATCGTCGATTCGAAGTCGAATTCGAACTAATGCTGCGTTGTAATGGCTCCTTCCTATTCTAAATTTCACCTTCAAATGGCCCATAACAGGAATGCTACAGTGTAACATAATGGCTCCTTCCGGCTGTAAATTTTACCCTCGGGTGGCCCACAAAAGGCATGCTACGTTGCAATGGCTTCTTCCTTTTCTAAATTTTACTTTCGAATGGCCCATCAAAGGAATGCTACGTTGTAAATCGTTGTAATGGCTCCTTCCTACTCTAAAATTTACCATCGGGTGGCTCACAAAAAGAAATGCTTCGTTGTAATGGCTCCTTCCTGCTCTAAATTTTACCCTCGGGTGGCCCACAAAAGGCACGCTACGTTGCAATGGCTTCTTCCTTTTCTAAATTTTACCCACGAAAGGAATGCTACGTTGCAATGGCTTTTTCCTACTCTAAACTGTATCTGTGGCCCACAAAAGGCATGCCACGTTGCAATAGGCTTCTTCCTATTCTAAATTTTACCCTCGGATGGCCCACAAAAGGGATGCTACGTTGTGGTCAGATGGTTGGTTGCTGCTGGCGCGGCTGGCAGGTGGCTGTTGGTTGGTTGGTTAGCAGGTTTTTTTTTGCGGCAGGGAGTTCACACTAAAATGTTGATTTCGTGGCAGGCGCGGGTTTTGGAGAGGAAGTGCAGATTTCGTGGCGCGGGGGGGGTTGGGGGGGGCGCAGCGCCCCCCCCCAGCAGCACACCAGATCCTAATAAAACAAGTGTTGGCTGCAAAGATGAGACTGCGCAGCGCGGATACTTTATTGCTTTGTTGCTAGCTTGGTCGGTTCCTGTTCTTCTTCTGTGTTGTGTGTCGTGGCGATTGCGGTTGTGGTTGTTGTCGTTGCTGTTGGTTCTCGTTGCTGTTGTTGTGGATCCGAACTCGAACTCGAACTGGTCCACCCCCCTTATAAGTCTCTTAGTCGCCGATCCGAACCCGAACTCGAACTCGAACCGGTCCACCCCCCCCGGCTCGATAATTGTGTGTCGATCCGAACTCGAACTCGAACTCGAACCGGTCCAACCCCCCCGGCTCGATAATTGTGTGTCGATCCGAACTCGAACTCGAAC